TTTTTTTTTTTGGAGAGGTTTTTGCTACAGGGCATGTGTGCTCGCCAGAGAGACAGAGAGAGACAGAGAGACAGAAAGCGAGAAATCATCCCCCAGGGGGGGTGGCCACACCGCAATCCCTTCTCCTCCATTCTCCTCTAGTAATCATGGGCATGCACACACACGTGCCTGGCGTGAGTTTAAGCCACCGGGTCCAGGACTTGAACCGTGGTCAACTACATGAGAGTCCAGCAACATAGCCATTATGCCAACTGCTGGTCCCAATATAAATCACCCCGTTTCTCACATGGCCTCCTACAGATTCTAACTTTCACAGTATCTCCTATAACCTGTCTTCTGTTTCTACTACCCTGTTTAATTCTCTTGTTCTCTTTTATAGCTCTTTGCCACTTCCAGACTCCTTGCTCTATAGTTCTTCATTATCTAACCAGTTTAGGCTAGAATTATTGGCTTTTCACATTATGACTGCGGTTTCTTTATCCAGACTTAAGAGTACTAAGGGATCAGCTCTGTTGCCTAGTGATTAAAAGAACCAGATCCCACATGGCCAGTCGCACAGTTCAGTCTCCGCTCTGGTGGCTTGAATAGCATGCTGGATGCACGTGTGTTTGTGGCCAAAATTTGACAGAATAGAAAAACGGGGAAGAAGGGGTTGTGGCTTGACTATAGCCCACAGAAGGATGCTTTCTCCTCTCTGGCAAATTAAAAAAATAAAAAATAAAATGCCTAAAAGAAACCAAAAGGATGGTTTTAATTGTTTCTCTGAATAGTAAATCCATGTAGCCAAAGTCTAGCAGCTGCATATTGACAGAACAAGAATGTGAACACAGGCTCTCACATCGTTGACTATGCATTTTGTGTCTGGAACCTGGAAACTTGAGAAACCCACCAGGAACATGTGCATACAAGCCCAAAATCCCAGAAGGAGGGAGGAAGAGAAGAGAAGGGATAATGAATAACAATCCCTCATGGGAGAAGGATATGGTGCTTTCTCCCCTCCCTGTCTCTCTATCAAGCATGTGTGCACTATAGCAAAAACAATAAAAAAATCATGAGGCAAATTGACTGTACTCTGGTCTAGATGTATATTAGGGTTGCAAAGTGAAATTTCACTTTCAGAGGCAGGTAAATGCATCGTAACCAGAAAGTACTTAAATCTGTTCCAGATTACCACTTTTTAAATTAAATTATCCATGTCAAGTATGTGAAGGGGGCCTCAGAAGGTTCATGGAAAATGTAAATTATGAAACAAATGCATAGATGTCAAAAAATTTTGCACCAAATAAGCTCATAGATTAATTCTATTTTTCCACGAACTTTTTGAAGTCCCCTGTACTTATGTTAAAAATGCCTATTTCTTAATTTATGTACAGTTTGCTTTAAAATAGCTATATATTTTTTCTATTTGTAGTTTACCTTGCCTCATAATGTACTTTATTGATTTATTCTTAATATTTTGAAACAGGAATCAAGTCACTTAGCTATGTTTTCAAGAACATGCATATTTACTTTCAAAGTTATAGAATATTTTGCTGGGACCAGCAGTTGGTGTAATGGGTATGTTGTTGGACTCCCATGTAGTTGACCACGGTTTGAGTCCTGACTGGGTGGCTTAAACTCACGCCGGGCACATGTGCGTGCATGCCCAAGATCCTGAGAGAATGGAGGAGAAGGGATTGTGGCATGGCCATCCCCCCTGGGGGGTGATTTATGGCTTTCTGTCTCTCTGTCTCTCTCTTTCTAGGGAGCACACACACCATATGGCAAAAACCTCTCCAAAAAAATAAATAAAAATAAAAGCACAGTTACAGAATATTTTAAAATGATAAGGTCTAGCATTTTTCTCTGTAAGGGTAGTAACATTTTAACATCATAGTTTCTTCCTTAAACTATAAACTTATGATTAACTTACTAAGCAAGCACTATATGTCTATTCTGTGCTAACCAATATGGGAATATAAAGATAAAAATGGATTAAAATCTCTGGCTTGTATAGACCAGAAAATGCAGCTGATTTTTTTCTTTCTTTCTTTTTCCACCATTGACATCCTTAGTTAAATTCATTAACACTTTATAAATTACCCAGACTTATTATAATACACAATTATTATAATACACTTTTTTAAAATGTGGCATTTGTGTATATAGTATTTTAAATTTGTGCATAGATATACTTACCTTGGGTCCAGCAGATGGTGTAGTGGTTAAGGCACAAGATTCCCACATGGCTGATCACAGTTCAAGTCCCAGACCCAGTGGCTTGCTTTCTCACCTTCCCCTTCTCTCTGTGTCTCTCTCTCTGGTGAGCACACATGCCCTGTAGCAAATTAGGAAGGAATGATAATAATGATAAATCTTTAAAGAAGCAAAAAGAAATACTTAACTTTAATTACTGAGCTTAGAACATTTCAGTGATTATCAACATCTGTACCAAAAAAATACCAGGTAAGAAGAGGTGATTAAGAAATAATGTGGGACTAGCAGGTGGCATAGTGATTAAGATGCTGGACTCCCACTTGTTCAACCGCAGTTTTGAGTCCTGGACATGACAGCTTGAAACTCACACTTGTGTGTGTGCATGCATGTCCAAAATCCTAAGGGGAGAATGGAGGAAAAGGGATTGCAGTATGGCCATTCCCCAGGAGAGTGATTTCTCATTTTCTGTCTCTTGAGTGAACACACATGCCCTATAGCAAAAATATGTCAAATAAAAAGAAGTTGAATTCTCTTTTTTAGTTTTGCTTACAGGGCATGTGCATTTGCAAGAGAGAGAGAGAGAGAGAAAGAAACAAAAAAACTCCCTGAGGAGATAGCCACACCATAATTACTTCTTCTGCATTTTGCTCTTGGGGTTTTGGGCACACACCACACATGCATGCCTAGAGTATTTTTCAAGCCACTGGCAGGAACCACCATGTGGGATCCAGCCACCTTAACTTCCATACCAGGAGCTAGCCTAAGATGCTGAATTCTTTATTAAAGTTAAATTTATAAGAAAGCATATTTAGTCATGGTTTCTCTGTCCTTGCTGGAAGAATATTGCCAACCCTTTGTACCTGTTCATATAAGTCATCATATGAATTATTTAAAAATAGAGGATAAAAATCAGAATGATAGGTTAAAGCCCATTATATTAATGTTGGTATATAAAATTATGTACTTGATGTTTTTCAGGATAAAGAATTGTACTCAGGACTTTAAAAAGACCACTGATCAACTAATTATTGGTTTAGAACATTCACCCTCCATGTGCAAGACTGTTCTGAACTCATCAGCCATAATGTCGGTATGAAAAATGTTGGTCATGAAATGCGATAAAGCCAAACATTTGTCTTTGTCTCTGCTAGTTTAACTTTGTTCTTCTCTCAAAGTTTCTGTAATTATAGATTTTCTTGGAAGTTTAAAGATAACAGAGATAAATCTACTCTCCTTACTCGAATCTTATTTTACTCTATGTGTGAACAATTCTCTTTCTTTCTATGACAGCCCATCCTACCTTTGGCCAACTCTTTCAAAATTTTTGGTGTTTACCTGTATGTAGCTGCTTCTCTTTAACTTAGTTGTTGAATTCAGATTAAATTAAATCCATGTAAAGTACAAGTTTCTAGATTCTAAATGTGATTTCTAGCTGTTTTAATATCAACCAAAAGGTCTAACTGCATTTGTTATTATTACTGATAATATTGTTGTTGAAGATTGAATTTTACCTGTTACTATTCCTGATAACTTTAAATAATGTATTAATGTTTTAATTTAAGATTATAAGTAGAACAAACTCCAGAATGCTATTGAATAAAGTATTAAGTCTTCTTGTGAAGATTATTAATGGGCTGGGGGAGAAGAGCACTTAATCTTGCTGTCTTGTACTTTAAATCTTAACATAGCAAGTTATGTTTTTAACAAGAAACAAATGTATATATACATTTATTGCCATGATAAATGATTTAAGATAGTTTTTGGTATTTTTTTAAGACAAGTTTTTGCTATTGGGCGTATGTGCTCGCCAGAAAGACAGAGACACAGAAAGCGAGAAATCACCCCCCGGGGGGATGGCCACACCACAATCCCTTCTCCTCCATTTTCCTCTCGGGATCTTGGGCATACACGTACACGTGTCTGGCATGAGTTTAAGCCACCGGGTCTGAGACTCGAACCACAGTTGACTACATGGGAGTCCAGCAACATAGCCATTACACTAACTGCTGGTCCCAATGATTTAAGATAGTTTAAAATTGAAAACTAATTACAAGGTCTAATCCCATTTTTAAAAAATTATAATTTCTGATATATGTACAATCATTGTACATCTTCGTGGGTTACGGTATGGTCATCATCTTCAACATTGAACATTATATTATGTTGTACATATTCAATATTGGTTCTACTTCTTTCTGTATTTTAGAAAGATTTTTGCTATAGGGCACCTATGCTTGCTGGATAGAGACAGAGACAGACAGAAAGTGAGAAATTACCTTCCATTCTCCTCTTGGGCTTTTGGGCACACACATACACATGCCTGGCATGAGTTTTAAGCCACCAGGTCCAGGACTCGAACCATGGTCGATTATGTGGGAGTCAGGGACGTAACCATTGCGCCATCTTCTGGGCCCATGATTTTTTTGTGTGTGGGGGAGATTGGGGGATTTTTTTTGAGGTATATATTGGGTCATTAGAAAAGTCATGACACATTTTTAGATAGGAAAAAAAAAAAAGAAAAATAGGTCATGACTTTTCTGATGACCTAATATTAGATTGGTAGCAGCATTTTTTTTACTCTCTTTGTGGTACACCATTCCATAATCTATTCTACTTGTTAATATGGATTCTTGTGTCTGTTAATTTCTTCCAAGACCCATCCCCCAACTATATGCAGTTTCTGGTGTCTACCATTACTCATTCTACTACTACGCTATTTAGTCCTTCTGTTTCCACTATAGAGCATGGGCATTCAGTGTATGTTAAGTGGGATCATACAGCATTTGTCTTTCATAGCCTGACTTACTCACTTAGAATTATATATTCTAGGTTCATCCACTTTGTGTCAAATGACAGGATATTGTTTTGTGGCTAGCAATATTGCTTTGTGTGTATGTGCCACATTTTCTTAATCTTTTATCAGTCATAAGGCACATAGGTTGATTCCATGTTTTAGAAAAAAATCTAGAATGCTCTAACTACAACTCTAAAGCTTTCTTTCTGTTGTTCGTTCTGACTTTCTGTAGTATACCTATATTGGTTTTGTAACCATAATGGTGGTTTGAATTTTGCACAACTATAATGTATCAAGCATCTGTTTTATATTTTTATATTTGTATGTGATTCCTGTCCCTTCTTAGGAGACTAAAACTGCAGAAGAAATTGATGAAGCACTGAAGATAGCAGGCTATAATTGTGAACAATTAAGTAGTGCTGTGAAAGTAAGCATTCTGAATAACTAAATTTTATTTTCTTTTGGGAATAAACTGGTGTGATGATTTTTTTCTCCTATGTATTGGTAAAATAATGAATGCCTAATTCATTTAATGACTAAGCTCTTATAAATGAAATTAAATTGGTCTCCAAGTAAATTTTCTGAGCATCAGTACATCCTCTGAGGGAATATGACATTTTAAAAATTGAAGCTGAATGACTAAATTTTATCATGAAGAGAAGCATGTCCTCTTTAAATGTGTGCATTTGGATGTGTTGTCACTAAAGTTACAGTTTAGCACTGAGTTGTTAAGCATGAAAATCTAATAATAGAGAAATACACAGAAGAATGGAAAACTGCTCCCATGACTTGCCAGAATTAGTCTTGTAGCATTGTTGTGCTAGGAACCTTAATGGGAACTTTACTAAGGAATCATGACTTTTTTTTTTTTTTGAGAGGTTTTTGCTATAGGGCGCGTGCACTCACCAGACAGACAGAGAGAGACAGAGAGATAGAAAACAAGAAATCACCCCCGAGGGGGGATGGCCACGCCACAATCCCTCCTCCATTCTCCTCTTGGGATCTTGGGCATGCATGCACACGTGCCCAGCGTGAGTTTTAAGCCACTGGGTCCGGAATGCAAACCACGGTTGACTACATGGGAGTCCAGTGACAGAGCCATTACGCTAACTGCTGGTCCCAGGAATCATGGCTTTTACTTGGTGTGAGCTGAATTTTGACTAAGAAACATAACGCATTTTTCCAAAAATTGTTCATTATTTGGCTGCTCATTATTTGGCTCTCCCCTATTGAGAGTTTATTCTCTTTTCTTCCTGTTCTACTCCACAAAAGAGAGACTCACTCTTTTGGTGACAAGGAGTAAGTTCATTTTTTTTTTTTTGAGAGGTTTTTGCTATAGGGCACATGCTCACCAGATAGAGAGAGACAGAGAGACAGAAAGTGAGGAATCACCCCCCAGGAGGGATGACCACGGTGCAATCCCTTCTCCTCCATTCTCCTCTCGGGATCTTGGGCTCGCACACACATGCACCTGGCATGAGTTTTAAGCCACCGGGTCCAGGATGCAAACCACAGTCGACTACGCTAACTGCTGGTCCCAAGGAGTAAGCTCTTAAGCATCTAGCAGCAACAAAGTTACACCCAAGGAGTTCAAAGATTACAGCAGTTAAGATATGCCTACTTTTTTGAGTAGAAAGGCAAGATTTTTACTTGGCTAAAAGTTACTACAGAAAGTCAGGTTTTTTTGAGAGTAATAAGAAAAATGATTAAAGTAACAAGATAGAAAAGTTATTAGAGAAGAAAAACAAAGAGAAAAAAAAAAGAGTGTCACCTGTAATGAGTAGTCCCAGATACAGAGGAGTGAAGCAAACCAGTAGTAAACTAACCAGGGGATAGACCTTAACATCTGAACTTTGTTGGGGGCAAGAGAGAGATAGTTCAACCCCAAAAGGTTACCATCTGGCCCCCAATATTCATGTCCTCCTCAATGCAAAATATGAATATATTCACTTCATCCCAATATTACCAAAGCCTAAAACCATTTTAGCATCAGTTCTGAGTTTAAAAACCTAAGGATCTTTTAAATCAAATGTGAGTGATATTCAGTGTATGAATCATGATGGGAGTGAAATTCCTCTTCAACTGTGATCTTGTGAAACCAGACAATGTATTTCTTTCTAAAATACATTAGTGAAGCAGGCAGGGGATAGACATTCCCACTCCAAAAGGGTGACATTGGAGGGAAAAAGAGAGTTGGGGATTCTAAGCAGTAGATTTGTTTTGTTTTGTTTTACATTTAGTCACTGAACATCTGTAAAGTGGTTTTTAGCAGATTGAACCTTGTGACATATTCTGTTTATCATCATCTAAATGACCTCTTATGTTATTTTGAAAAGTCTGGCAAGTACCTTTTACTTTCTGAATTATATTGAAGGTACACTTTTTTTTTTTTGGAGGGGTTTTTGCTATAGGGTGTGTGCACTCGCCAGAGAGACAGAGAGCGACAGAAAGCAAAGAAACCCCCCCCCCCGGGGGGTTGGCCACTCCTCAATCCCTTCTTCTCCATTCTCCTCTCGGCATCTTGGGCACACATGCAAATGCACCCGGTGTGAGTTTAAACCACCGGGTCTGGGACTTGAACTGCAGTCAACTACATGGGAGTCCAGCGACATAGCCATTATGCTAACTGCTAGTCCCTTGAAGTACAATTTGTACAAGGTAAAAATATCAAATTAGATTTTTGTGTTGTTTTTTCCCCCAGATGCTTGAACACATACAGAATAAAACAAAAGCGGAAACAAACAGTCTTATACAGGTTGTGGGGAGACAGTTTGATCAGCTTTCTGCTTCTCTTGATTCCAGGTAATTACTTTAAAATATAGACTAAACAAAACTAAACATTTAATGGTTGCTTATCTTTGATTCCTTTGTTTATACTGAAGTAATAAGTAACTTTTAAACACATTTGGGAAGTAATGGGTGGTCCCTACAGGTGATTTTTAGAACTTAAAAACTAAAAAACAATTTTGGGGACAGCAGGTGGCATGGAGGGTAAGGTGCTAGACTCTCATGTGGCTGATCATGTTTTGAGTCCCTCACCTGGGCAGCTTGAAAATCACACTGGGCACATGTGCATATGTGCCAAAAATCCTGAGAGGAGAATGGAGGAGAAGGCATTGCAGTATGGCCATCTCCCTGTGGAGTGATTTCTTACTTTCACTCTTCTTTTCTTTGGAAAGCACATGTACCCTATGGCAAAAAACATAAATACATACATAATAAAAAATGTATACATTTAAAAATTTGTAATTTGGCTGTTTATCTTCTGTTTCTAAAGCACAACTGTGAAAGTAAACTGGCTCCTTACTTAGAATAGTACAGAAAAATTATTTATTTGATATTTTAAAATTCTCCAGGAGGTATATGTGATTGCCAGAGAGAGACAGGCAAAGTGAGAAAGCTCCTCCATAGAAAATGGTCACACTGAAATCCTTTCTCCTCCACTTCTTTCTCCTTTCAGGATTTTGGGCACAAATGCACACCAACCCAGTGTTTTTCAAGCCACCAGGTCTGGAACTCAAATTGCACAGCCAGCCATGTAGAATACAGCTACCTTAACCACCATGCCATGGGCTGACCCCAGAAAATTATTTTCAAAACCTAAATTATATTGTGGAATTCGGGGACCAACAGATGGCTTAATGGTTATATTGCTGGACTCCCACAGAGTCGATCACGGTTTGAGCCCCAGACCTGGTAGCTTATAAACCCATGCCGGTGCATGTGCATGTGCGCCCAAAATCCCAAGAGGTGAATGAAGGAGACGGGATTGTGGTGTGGCCATTCCCCTTGGGTGCTGATTCCTCATTTTCTGTCTCTCTGTCTCTGTCTCTTTGGCAAGCTCATGCACCCTATAGCAAAAACCTCTCTCTTAAAAAAAAAATAGGGATCAGCAGTTGGCATAATGGCTATGTCGCTGAACTGCCATGTAGTTGACCACAGTTAGAGTTCCAGACCCAATGGCTTAAACTCACGCCTGGCACATGTGCGTGCATGCCCAAAATTCCGAGAGGAGAATGGAGGAGAAGGGATTGCGGCGTGGCCATCGCCCCTGGGGGTGATTTCTCGCTTTCTGTGTGTCTGTGTCTCTTTCTGGCAAGCACGCACGCCCTATATCAAAAACCTCTCCTAAATAAACAAACAAACAAACAAACAAGCAAACTAATAAATAATTAAAAACTAACTAACTAACCCAGCCACCCATCCATCCATCCATCCATCCAACCATCCATCCAACTTGTGGAATTCAGCACACTTGGGAAAATGTAAACATACTTTTTCTGTGTCTCTTTCTGGCAAGCACGCACGCCCTATATCAAAAACCTCTCCTAAATAAACAAACAAACAAACAAACAAGCAAACTAATAAATAATTAAAAACTAACTAACTAACCCAGCCACCCATCCATCCATCCATCCATCCAACCATCCATCCAACTTGTGGAATTCAGCACACTTGGGAAAATGTAAACATACTTTTTCTCACACTTAGCTCTATAATTTTTGTATGCATTTATTTACTTCAGAGCAGATGCCTTTCTAATAGGTAATAAATAATATCTTACTGTTAAATAGCCATCACTTTTAGGGATAGGGTGGGGAGGGTTTATCATAGGGTACATGTGCTCACTAGAGAGAGACAGAGGGATAGTAAGAAATCACCCTCCAGGCTGGATGGCCATGCCACAGTCTCTTCTCTTCTATTCTGCTCTTGAGATTTTGGGCATGCTCGCATATTCGTCTGATGTGATTATCAAGCTGCCAAGTCTAGGACTTGAACTGTGGTCAGCCATGTGGGTGTCCAGAGCCTTAACCACTACACCACCTACTGACCCCTATTCATCACTCTTTTCTTTCTTTTTTTAGAGATTTTTTGCTATAGGGCACATGCACTTGCTGGAGAAACAGAAAGCAAGAAATCACTGCCACCCCCCACCCCACAGGGGTTGTATAGACAGCCACACCACAACCTCTTCTCCTTCATTCTCCTCTCAGGATTTTGAGCATACATGCAAACACACCAAGCATGAGTTTCAATCCACCGGGTCTGGAACTTGAACCATATTCGGCCATGTGGGAGTCCAGCAACATAACTATTATGCCATCTGCTGGTCCCTTCTTTTAAAAACCTCTTTAAAAGCTCTTTGATATATAGTATTTTTAATGAGTCACATGAAAGAGATAACATAAGTATTCCTTCCAGTATACATTTTAAGAAACTGGCTCATAGGCCCAGCCATGGTGGCTTATGCTACTAAGACTCTGTGCTTCATGTGCTAGGACATCGAAGGTCTAGATTCAAGTCCCAGTTCAACCCAAAGGCCAGCAGTGTTTTGCATCTGAATTCCAGCAGCTCAGGTAGTCTAAGGCAGAGAATCATGAACAACATAGTAAGACTGTGTCTAAAAAAGAGCCAGGCATGGTGGCACATGCTTGTAGTGCCGGCTAGGAAACTTAGGCAAGAGGATCAAGACATGTTAAGATCCTGTCTTAAGAAGTAAATGTTAGGTCGTCAGGAAAGTCATGATGTATTTTTCTGTGCAAAAATGTGTTATGATTTTCCTGACAAGCCAATAGATAAATGGAAGGATAGAAAGGGGGTTAAGGAAGAAAAAAGGAAAGAGCTCATAAAAGTTGTGATATGCCCAAAATAATATATGTAGTAATGTTGCTTGTCCATTTGACGCTTAGCTCAATGTTTTGTTAAAAAATTTTTTAATCTCCTTAAAATGCCTAGAACATATGTTCAATCTGCTATGCATGAATTGGTTAAGTATTCTTTATTCTTTATATTGAAGCTATTTCACATTTGGTCTTTAATTAAAGCATTCAAATGATAGTTCGTGTAGCAGATTCTTTTTTCATATTTTAGTAGTCAGATACAAACAACTTAAAATTTACCTTTTTAACTATTTTTTCTCTGAAAAATAATTGTTTCTTTTTTCATTTTTAAGACTTTTAAAGTTTTTTTTATTTATTAGTAGTAGTAGTAGTTGTCAGCTGGAGCAGAGAGAGACAGAGAGAGAGGAAGAGAAAGGAAGAGTAAGAAAGCAAGCTGCCAGGTCCAGGACTTGAATTGCAGTCAGTCATGTGGGAGTCCAGCGTCTTAACCACCATCCATGCCACTTGCCAGCTCCAAGGCTTTTTTTTTTTTTTTTAATACAGAGTATGTGGTATTCACCAGGGAGAGGCAGGGTAGAGTTGGAGGAGGGAAGAGCAGTGAAAAAGCTCTCTCTGTGGAGGTGGGGGGAAGGAGGGCATACCACAATCCTGTCTCCTCCATTCTTTTTGTGGATTTCGTCATACATACACGTGCCCAGCGTGTTCTTCAAGCCACCAGATCCAAGACTTGAACTGTGCTCTTATCCATGTGGGACCCCCCTACCTTAATCTTCATCTTTGTAAACTATTTTTAAGTGCACAGTGTAGCGGGGTATGAAAATTCTGTGTTTAACTTTTTGAGGAACTGTTGAACTCTCTTTTGGTTTTTTTGGAGAGGTTTTTGCTATAGGGCGTGTGCGCTCGCCAGACAGAGAGACACAGAGAGACAGAAAGTGAGAAATCACCCCCCAGGGGGGGATGGCCACGCCGCAGTCCCTTCTCCTCCATTCTCCTCTCGGGATCTTGGGCACACATGCACACGCGCCCGGCGTGAGTTTAAGCCACCAAGTCCGGGACTCGAACCACAGTCGACTATGTGGGAGTTCAGCGACATAACCATTACGCTAACTGCTGGTCCCATGAACTCTTAACTCTTTTCCACAATGGTTGCATAGTCCAATTTACTTTCCAATCTGCATTACACAAGAGTTCTAGTTTCTGCAGATACTCACCATTTGTTATTTTTTGTTGTGGTATTTTGTTTTTGATAGCCATCTTAATGTGAGAAGTACTATTTTTTTTGTGGGTTTTTTTTGGGGGGGAGGGCTTTTTGCTATAGGGCGCGTGTACTCACCAGGAAGACAGAGACAGAGAGACAGAAAGCGAGAAATAACCCCCTGGGGGGATGGCCACGCCACAACCCCTTCTTCTCCATCCTTCTTTTGGGATCTTGGGCACGCACGCACACACGCCCAACGTGAGTTTAAGCCACGGGATCCAGGACTCAAACTGCAGTGGACTACATGGGAGTCCAGTGACATAGCCATTACGCTAACTGCTGGTCCCTTTTTGTGGTTTTGATTTGCATTTTCTTTCTTTTTAGTTTTTGCTGTAGGGCAAATGTACTCACTAGAGAGAGACAGATAAAAAGAGAATGCTAAGAAAAAGTAAGAAATCACCCTCTAGGGGGAATGGGCCACACTCAATCCCATCTCCTTCATTCTCTTTTTGGGATTTTGGGCACTTAACCACATGTCCTTGGCATATTTTCCAAGCTGCCAGGTCTGGGACTCAACCACACAGCCATCCATGTGGAATCCAGTGCCTTAACCACCATTCCACTTGGCTGGCCTTTGAATTGCATTTTCTAATGATTGATGATATTGAGTATCTTTCATGTGCTTAGTTATTAGCCATTTGTATATATTACTTGAAGTATTTACTAATGTCCTTCATACATTTTTTAATTGAATTATATATTGTGTTGTTGATAGAAGTTCTTTATATATTTTAGATATTAAATCTTTATTGGATATATGACTTAAAATATTTTTCCCATTTTGTGAGTTATCTTCACACTCTCTTGATGTACTTTGATCTAAAAGTTCTTAATTTTATGAGGTCAAATTTATCTATTATTTCTTTTGTTGTTTATGCTTTTGGTGTCATAGCCAAGAATTTAATGCCAAATCCAACCTCGTGATGTTTTTCTTGCAATAGTTTTTGCTTTGTTTTGTTATTTATTTAAAAATTTTTGCTATAGGGTGTGTGCACTCACTGTTGAGACAGAGAGAGACAGAGAAACAGAAAGCAAGAAATCACCCCCTGAGACAGATGGCCATGCCACAGTCCCTTCTCCCCTATTCTCCTCTCAGGATTTTGAGCAAACACACACACACACACACCCTGTGTGAGTTTCAAGCCACTGGAGTCCAGGATTCAAACTGCAGTCAGCCGCGTGGGAGGCCAGCAGGTGCTGGCCTCTTCTCTGTATTTTTTTCTAAGAGCTTTATAGTTTAAATTTCACATTTAGTTTTTTTATTCTGTTTTTGTGTATGACATAAGATAAGCACCCAGTTTTCTTAAACTGAATATTCAGTTTTCCCAGCACTACTTATTGAAAAGACTGTCTCATTTTATCATTGAACGGTCTTGGCACCATTGTTGTAATCAATTCTCGTTGGATGAGAAGGTTTATTTCTGAGTTTTCTATTTAGCCCATTGTTCTATGTATCTGTCTTTATTACTATCATACTATTTTGATTACTATAGCTTTGTAATAAGTTTTGAAATGAGAATGTTTAAGTCCTCCCACTTCTTTTTCAAGATTGTTTTGGCTACTCAGGGCCTATTAAGAGTCCATATTGGAGGGAGGTCTGGCAGGTGGCATGGTTAATGGTTAATGCCCTGGGTTCCTAAGTGGTTAACTGCAGTTTAAGTCCCAGACCTGGCAATTTGCTTTTTCACTTTCACTCTGTCTCTCTTTGATCAAATTGAAAACTACTAAAAACAAATAAAATTGAATAAATAAATAATTGTTTTTAAAAATCTTTTTAAAAGAAAGAGAGAGTTTCCTGAATATCTTATTCTTTTTTGATGCTACTATAAAAGGGATTGCTTTCTTAATTTCCTTTCGGGATTACTTATTGTTATTGTATAGAAACAGATGATTCTTGTGTGTTGATTTTGTATTAGACACCTTTGTGTAATACATTTATTACCCCTGCTATATTTTTATGATATCTCTAGAATTTCCTACTTGTAAGATGTCACTTGCAAAAACAGTATTTTACTTCTTCCTTTCCAGTTTGAATGCCTCATATTTCTTTTCTTTTCTTTTTCTTTTTTCCCCCTAAGTTGCTCTGGCTAGAACTTCTAATATTATGTTACAAAGAAGTGGCAAAAGCAGTTAAGCTTGTCTTGTTCCTAACCTTGTAAGAAAGACTTTCAGTTTTTCACCATTGAGTGTGATTTTTTTTTCCTTAGACAATGTAGCTAAAGTCTGTCTATTTTAATATTTTCTGAAGAACCAATTTTTGCCTTTACTTTCCTCTGTATTTAAAAATCTCTGCTTTAATCTTTATTTTCTTCCTTCTTCTATCTTTGGGTTTAGTTTGTTCTTTTTCTTATTTTTTAAGGCATAAAGTTAGATTGTTGATGTGCAAGCTCCTTTTTTAATGTATTTGCAAATATAGATTTTCATTTTAGCAGTTCTTTCATTACATCCCATAAATTTTTTTTTCTTGTTTATTTCATTTGCCTCAAGATATTTTCCTAATTTCCCCTGTGATTTCTTCTTTGACCCAGTAGGGCATGGGAGTATATTGTTTACTTTTTACATGTTTGTGAATAGTCTAGTTTTCCTTCTATTGCTTCATCAGGAGAGTCAGGATGCATTTTTTGCATAGAAAAACATGGAAAAAAATATGTCATGACTTTTTCTACAATCCAATTTCCTTTCTACCTTCCATTGTGGTCAGAAAAGAGAATTTATATTATTTCAGTCTTTAAATTACTGAGACTTGTGGTTTGACCTAATATGTGGGTCTATTCCAATAAACATTACATGTACACTAGAGGAAAATGTGTATTCTGCTATTGTTGAGTGGAGTGTTGTATATGCCTGTTAGGTCCAATTGGTCTGCAGTGTTGTTCAAATAATCTATTTCTTCATTAATTCTGTTCTGGTTGTTCTATACATTATTTAAAGTAAGATATTTTTATTTTTCCATTTAATTCTGTGAATGTATGTTTTATAAATTTGGAGGCTCTGGTGTTTTGTGCCTGCATGTTTAGAATTGTTAATGTCTGTTTTGTCTAATATTGATATAACCTATGCAGCTCTCTTGATTACTGTCTACACGTAATACCCTTTTACTTTCAACCTATGTATATCTTTAGATCTAAAGTATGGGTTTTGTTTTTATTTTTTTGTTTAAGATTTTTTTGCTATAGGGCACATGCAGTTGCCAAAAGAGACAGAAGCAGAGAGGGAAAATGAAGTCACCTCTCAGGGAGGATGGCCATGCCATAATCCTTTCTCCTCCATTCTCTAGGAATTTTGGGTACACACACACATGTGCCCAGCATGATTTTTAAGCCACCATGTCAGGGACTTGAACTGTGGTCACTCATGTGGGAATCCAGTGCCCCAACCACCATGCCACCTGCTGGTCCCAAAGTAACTGTTTTGTTTTGTTTTAACTGGTTTTTTTTTCAATTTTTGATACCATGTAGTTGGATCATGTTTTTTATCTCTTCAAATGTATGCCTTTTAATTAGGGAGTTTAGTTACTTACACTTAAAGAAGGACTGCTTTTGCCATTTTATTTATTTTTATATTTCTTATATTTTTTCCCTCATTTCTTCCATTACTATCTTCCTTTGAGTTGATTTTTGTTTTGTTTTTCATTTATTTTGCTAGAGGGTGCATGTGCTCACCAGAGAGAAAAAGCACCCCCTCCCCAGTGGGGTATGATCACACCTCAATTTCTTCTCCATTTCTCTACCCTATGGGGATTTGAGGCACACATGCCTAGCATGTTTCTCAGGCCACCATGTCTAAAATTCAGACTATACAGTTGGATATGTGGGTTCCAGCTCCCTTAACCACCAACCCATGGAGACAGCCCTGGCTTGATTTATTTTTTTTGTAGTGACACATTTGATTCCTTTCACATTTCTTTAAGTAATTATTTTATTTAACTTTACTTCTTTTATTTTAATTTGATCAGCTAGGGACAGAGAGCTGGAAAGTGATAAAGCAAGCTGCCAAATCCAGGACTTGAACCACGGTTGGCCATGTTGTAGTCCAGCGCCCTTAACCACCACATCACCTGGTGGCCCCATGATTCCTTTCTCATTTCTTTTTGTGCATAGTGTATAGATTTTGTGTGTGTGTGGTTGGTTACCCATGAATATTATCTATCATAGCCTAAAATTATGACAGTCTATTTAGAGTTAACATATTAATTTAAGTTCATACAAAATCTACTGTTTCACATATTTACCCTTCTCTTTATTTTTTTATTTTACAAATTATATCTTTATATATTATGTACCTATTAACATAGATTTATAGTTATTTTATGTATTTGTCCTTAAAGTGCTATAGAAAATAAAAAGTGGACTTACAAAACAAAATTATAGTAATGCTGGGTTTTGTCCATATATTTACCTTTACCAGAGGTGCTTTTCATCATTTCGTGACTTGAGTACTGTGTAGTCTTCTTTCACTTTAACATGAAGGAGTCTCTTCAGCATTTCTTATAGGACCAGTATATTGGTAATGAACTCCCTCAGCCTTTATTTACATGGGGATGGTTCCAATTCTTCCTCAATTTTGGAGGATTGTTTTGTCAGGTATAGAATATTCAATTTACAGGGTTTTTTCTTTCAGCACTTTAAATATATCATCCCATTTCCTTCTGGCCCCTGTTACGTTTTTGTTGTTGATTTGTTTTTTTCTGGTTTCAAGAGTATCTCTTCATCCCTTAAATGTTTAAATGTAATATGTGTTGGTATGGTTCTCCTGAGTAATGAAGGAGAGTTATAAGTATATAACCTTCATAAGTGACTACTTTGGATATTATAGTTAATCGATGTATAACTACTAGTTTGGTGATGTCTATTTAAAAACCTCATGTGTCTGTTGATATAAATTTTTAAATATGCATGTATATGCTTATGAGAAATGAAAACAGATAGATAATGTCTTTGTAAGGATGTAAGTGACTATATGATAGATACATCCAGGAGTTCTCTTACTGTTAGGTAGAATGATCTAGACTCTTTCATCTGTAATTCTTTGACAGCTTTGTGACATAGTGTATTCTGCAAAATTTGCTTTTTCTCTATTATGTATACATAACTTTTAAATGTAATACTTTTCAGTTCAATTGAATGCCTCATTTAACAATGCTATTATGTTAAGTTTATCAACTAGTAAAATAAGCTTTCACATACTGTTCAGTTTCTGTATGCCTCATTTGTGTGTATATGTGTGTGCACATGCATTTATGTGTACTATGTTTTTGTTTTGTTTTGTTTTGTTTTTCTTTCAGACAGGGTCTTGCTGTGTCTTGATTCCCCTGCCTCAGCCTCCAAAATAGCTGGGAGTGCACTTGCGCTCCACCATGCCCAGCTTTCAGGCTGGGCCTGCAATTGAATGTGGGCTTCCCATGTGGCCTCAACTTCCCAAAAAGCAGCGTCCAGTGTGCACTACTTTGGCTGGGCCATTTTATGCCTCATTTAACTGCGTTATATTATTTAACCTCATAAACTAGTGAAACTGCACTTTTAACTACTGTTTAGTGTAAATTACTTTTATATAAATGTTTATGAAATACACAATAACTTTTGTATTTTTAATGAAGGAAAAAGAACCTGTGTGAAGAACTTGTAAGAAATACAGATGATTATTTATCGAACTTAGTAACAGCTAAAAGCTACATTGAAGAAAAAAAAAAAGATTTGGATGCAGCTATGAAAATAGCACAAGAGTTAAAATCAGCACCTTCTCTGAGGACCTATTGTGATCTGAATAAGGTGATTTACTTATTTATTTATTTATTTTTGCCTTAGGATGCTTCTGCTCACTAGAGAGAGAGACAAAGTAAGAAATCACCCCCACGGGGTGATGGCCATGCTGCAATTCTTTATTTTCATTCTCCTCCTAGGATTTGGGGTGCACACACACACACATACACACACACACACACACACACACACACACACACACCATGGTTTTTCAAGCCAATAGGTCTAGGGCTCAAACTGGAATTGCCCATATGACAGTCCCGCACCTTAGTCACCATGCCACCTGCTGGCTCCAAGAATCAGGTAATTTTAACAGTTCACAATGTGAATTATTTTTGTGGTAGCTTGTTTTATATGGCTTTGAATACAAATTTAGGACTGAATAAAAATAATTTGTTTTCTGGATTAAACTAACTTCTCATCATTTGGAATTTTAGGTGTTTGAATTCTGAGACAAACATTGTTAAATTTGTTTTGCCTTTTATCATTTTTTTACCACTTATGGAAATAGCATAATGTCTTTATAATACATTATCTGAGAGCGGGTAGGATGACATTGAGATAAAACTTGAGGTTTCTAGGACACGTCCTAAAGGAAAAATGAGGATGTTCCTTTTAGTGGCTTAATAGTGTTCTATTCTATATATCCCACATTTTTCAAAGCTTATTTATTTACTTTATTTATTGTTTTTTAAGTTTGCCAGATGGCACATGTGGTCACCAGAGAGAAAGAGGGAGGGAGAGGGAAAGGAGAAAGCAAGCCGCTCAGTCCAGAATTCAAACTGTGGTCAGCCATGTGGGAGTCCAGTGCCTTAACTCCATGCTACCTGCTGGCCCCTATACCACAGTTTTTAAATCTGTTTGTCTCTTGATGAACACTTAGGTTGAGTCTACATTTATATATTGTGAAAAGTGCTGCAATAAACATGAGATGTAGATATCTCTATAACATACTGGTTTTCTTTCCATTAGCTATGTCTCTAGTAATGGAATTACTGGGTCCTTTGGCAGTTCTGTTTATAGATATTTTAGGAACCTCCATGCAGTTTTCCATAATGACTGTACTAATTTATTTTATTCCCATTGAAAGTTTAAAAGAATTTCCCTTTCTCTGCATCTTTTCCAGCATTGTTTTTTTTTTTTTTTTTGGGGGGGATTTTTTTTTTTTTTTTTTTTTTTGGGTACG